AAGCCCCATTAAATCTCAACCAGAGAAATAATCGTCCCTTCCCAGGCAGACTCAGCCTGTGAGCTCGGGGTATTCTCCACTCTCTGGGGAGATGGAAGGCAAGGTTTACGCCACAAAGAAATCTACTTAACTTTCACATTCTCCAACATTATCCAACACTTGGAGTCAAGGGTTATGGGATTAGGAGAACATCACGTGACTGCCCTGGAAGTGTTTGCTTCTAGGAACACGCGATAGGCCTGTGTGGGACAGGAAATCTCCACATGGCTTTGCCTGGAAATAGCGAACAAATGCAATCCAGCCTGCCCCAGTACGCAGAACTCCTAAAGGAGAACCGTGTCTGTTGTCTGTCTCTTCAGCCCCCTCTTTTCATCCTCAGCGCCGTTTGTGTAACGGGACAGACTCTCCCAGCGTTTTAGCTCTCCACTGGGTGGTGAGCGACTCTGTTGTTTATCACGGGTGAGTGAATGGGTGAGAGAAGAATTCTGGGTCAGTGTGGGGTGGTTTTTGCTGACTTTATCTCAGGCAGTGCGGTGCTGAGGAGCTCAGGTAGGGAGTTATCCCTCGGGTGCATGGCCACGGTCGAGTGCTTCCTCTTGGTTGGTGGGGCTGGAACTCAGTGGCTTACACTCCCTTGGTGGTGGTGATCAGTGGTGACTAGGGCAGCCCTGGAGACCAAGCCTTCTCCGGAAAAGTTGTGTGCCAGCTTTAGTTTCTGGCGCTGTCATAGGTGTCTAAGTTTCTGGTAGTTTGGAAGTGGCATGTTTTTCAAGGAAGCACAAGGGGGCATTGCTTCTGGGAGGTATGTCATTTACCACGTAGGATCTGGTCCATTGCCTGAAAGGATGTTTTTTGTGTACATTCACAATCTCCCGGCCATGGAGGACACGTTTAAGAGAATGAAGAAATCTTATCAGTGTGGACTGAAAAGGCCACCCGGTGGATAAAGACTATTGTCACCAAACCCGATGGCCTGAGCTCAGTCCCCAGGAGAGAACTGACTCCCACAAATTGTCCTCTAACCCACACATGTGCACATGTACGTGTGTGCACACAGGCATGAGTGTGCATGCACGTGCATGTACACACACATGTCAATAAATGCAACTGAAAAAGGAAATCTGCTGTGATTTTAGCACCTGTGTGTGTGCACGTGTGTGTGCGTGTGCGTGTGTGTGTGTGTGTGTGTGTGTGTGTGTGTGTGTGTGTGCGTGCCATCGCCAACATGGCTCCAGGGGTGGAGGCAGGGTGATGAAGAAAGACACACAGAGAAAGCTGGGGTAGAGTGGACAGGGCTCTCTGGTGGAGAAACCGCAGAATCCCAGAAGCCCAGCTTGTTTGTTAAGAGTTGAACAGAAAGGTGGGGGTGTTGCTGAATGAGGAGGTGGGATTCCATGTCGGCCTCACCCTCGGAGGCTTTGCTTTGCCATTTCCCATGGGTCTGAGGCTGTGGTCCCTGACAAGCCGGTGTCCCATCAGAAGCACACGTCACTCGGGACCTCATTGACCCAGGGTTTCAACCTTTTCTGGGTTCCATCCAGGCGTCTTAGTAGGCGTCTATGTGGGCATCAACTGGAAAAAGGTGAGCAGAGTAGTCAGCATATATTTCTGTGGTGTAGACAGAACCAAGTGCGTTTCCTGTGTCTATACCGAGCACATGCTTGTTTTAGAAACACACTGAGCATTGCAGCTGGATAGAGTTGTCAGCATCTGTCTCATGAATTCCGTGACTAATGCAAGGAACACACCTCCAGGTCTGTTGTGAACAGACAAGCCAGGTGCCGGAGGCTGTTTGCACCCTTGTTCTGCAGGCCTCCCCATTGACTTGGGCTCTTTTCTCTGTTAGCCTCCTTGCCTGAGAGGCTGGCTCCCTGGCAAACGGGGTCCCAGCACATTGTTGGTGGCACGTGTAAAGACTCTGTTTCTTGAAAAATGTCATAAAGAGTAGACAGAAAACACACTCCAGCCTTCGGCAGGGTCTCTCAGACACACAGAGGACTCCGATTGACACGGGGCCATCAATCTCACCGTCCCTCCTTAAGCCTCTTTGGCCACTAGGCTGCCTTTCCTCAAGTTTCCCAAGCCCAGGGCTCACACCTGTCTCTCTGAATTAAGACAGACATTGAGAGTAGCGATGCGTTTCCGTCAGTCTGTATTTGGACTACTATGGAGCTCAGCTCATCGCTGCGGAGGAAACTGGTTTTCCATACTGAGGAGGAGTAATCCATTCCATACATGGCTGCTGCTCCACTAAGGACCTGGTTTTGTATCGTTCACAGGTGTGAACATTGCACCCCCCTTGATTAAACACCAGTGCAATATGACGCTGTGTCTGTACGTATAGTATCCCTGCCACCCATTCTACAGTGATAACTTTTTTTTCCCCCATAAAGCACACGGTTTCTTGGTTTGGAGTCCTCCAGAGCAGTCCAGTTTCTAGATCATGCCTGATGTCACATTGAGTCTTTGCTTAAACCTCCCTGTCTGACTTCTCAGACAGCCTCGCTGAGATTGCCCTTCATCCACACTCTTGCGATGATGACTCTTCGTCACTGTGATTAAATCCCCAACGAGAAGCAACGAGAGGAGGAAGAGTTTCTTGTGGACTGAAGTCTGAGAGGCACAGTCCGTCATGTATGTGTGTGAGGGGGGGGTGGGGGGGCAGGGGCGGGAGGCTGGCTTGTCACATTGCCTTTGCAGTCGGAAGCAGAGTGAACAGGAAGTGGAGTGGGGGGGGGAGACAGCACCGAGGCCCCTCCCACCCAGGCACTCACTGCCCCTAAAAGCTTCCCCGCTCTTCCCAAACAGCGCCCCCAGCTGACAACCAGGTGTTCAAACACCTGAGGCTGTGAGGACTATTTCACAGTCAAATTGTAACCAGGACTCTGACCTGGGAAGGGGCAGGGTAAGTATGAATGAGTAAACTAGGCGTGGGAAGAAATGATTCACGGATGTGGCATGGCGTGACCTGCACTCGGAAAATACCTCCTAGTGATATTTGAAAACGCCATGTTAAGTGCCCCTCCGTCCTGCGCTGTGTCGGGTAGGCAGGCAAAGCATCAGCCAGGTCCGGTCCACAGGGACTATCCCTGCTGGCCCCCTGCTCTGTGGGTGGTGACTTCTAGGGAGGCCTGAAGCTCCAATGGTTTCTTGATCTCTAGCTGATTCTGCCTGGGTGGTCCATTATTCTCCCCTGCTTCTCTGGTCGTCTGTCTTAAGCATTTTAATTCCTTGGCTGGTGTGAACACACACACACTCTCTCTCTTGTGTGTGTGTGTGTTTGTATGTGTGTGTGTGTGTGTGTGTGTGTGTGTGTTTAAATTGAGTGTTGACGGTTTTGGATCAAACAAGTGTGGTGTTGGCTGCGTTTATCAGGGGTCCAGATCCGCAGAGTCCTCTCAGCCCCTGCGACTGTGTAGACAGAATACCCTTCCCTGTGGTTTTTCAGTTAGGTAACCACTGAGGTCTAATTCCAGGAGGAGCAAAGATGGCTGAGATTCTCTGCTTCTGAGGAACATGACCAAATGCTCTACTTCAGGTTAAAAAAAATCGCATTTATAGGATCCAGTGAAGATGGCACTCTGTCTCGATGCCACCCAATACCACTTGCTTGGCAGTATCAGACTGGTTCATTTGTTTCCTTTCTGCTCTTCTAAGCCTTTACCTGCAGACAAGGCTTCATTCTTCTTTGTATTATGTGTGAAAGCCCTACCCTTACAGGCGGGAAACAGACATGGCCCTTGCCCTGGAGAGCCCAGGATCTCTTCAGCAGTGTAGGTGTACAGGTGGCGTTGAGGTACGCAGCACAAAACTATACAACTGTTTATGTAAAATTTAAAATTTTAAATACTTCTTAATAGTTGACACTGGCTGGGAACTGAAATATGAAGTTGTAAGTTCACATTCGACTTCCTTCTTGTCTCACAGTAAGAGCTCGCCGCCTGCAGCCCATTGGCTAAGGACCTTCAAGCCAACAATTATTTATTTATCTTTGCAAGTAGACATTTGCAATCGATTTGATGAAAGGGACACAAACTTTGAATTCCAAATGGGTGCAGTGGTATGTCGTTAAAAAAAAAAAAGATTTCTATGGTTTCTAGCACTTGGGGAGGAGAGGCAAGAGGGCCGTATGTTTGAGACCAGCCCCAGCTATCTGGTGAATTCCGGGCCAGCCTAGGCTACACAGTGAAATAGTGAGACTGTTTTAAATAATATTTATTTTGTCAGTAGTAGGCCTGTCATGCAAAACATACTGAATTCTTGTTACACATTCAATTTTGTTAATAAAAAAATTGTAGACCTCCATCTTACTCAGGTTCAGCTCCTAGGTTTTGCCTGTTAACCTGCTCTGGAGTAGCGGCCAGGGACTTCTCTGTAAAGGACAGAGCAGATGGCAACTATTTTAGGATTTGTGGCCATCTGGTCTGAATAACGATGACTCAGTTCTGGCCTGGTGTGTAAGCAAGCAGTCATAGGCACTATGTATACAAACGGGCATGGCCCTTGTTCCAATAAAACTTTATTTAAGAGACACAGATTTTTTTAGTTCCGTATCATTTTCACGATGAAAGTGATTCATGAAGCATGATTCTCTTTTCTTTCTACCATCCAAAACTGTAGAAACAATTTGTGTGGTGAGAGGATGGAGAGAAATGGGTAATGAGCTTGATGAGATTGGCCCCCCCCCCCCGCCCCACACCATGCCCAGTAAACGTCTTCCATGACCAGGTCAGCTCAGGTACTCTGGTAAACCTGGAGGAATGTGCAGGTAGTGTGTGGGCAAACTCACCATAGCCATGCTCCCTTAAGCCCAGCACTCAGGCCCTACTCCTGCCCTCCCTCCCTCCCTCCCTCCCTCCTTCCCTCACCCCTCCTTCCCTCCCCACAGGCCCAATTCTCTCCATCTGTCTAGGAAAGAGTTTCTCCAGGGTGCGACTTCATCCCTGGGCCCCTTCCAGCTCCCAGTTAGAAGCTCTTTCCAAGGACGGTGAAACAGTTACACCCCACCCCACCCCCACCCCAGCTCACTGCTAGAACCATCCAACTGTCGGGTGAGTTCAGGACTCTGGGAGCTCCTGTGTAAATACCAAGTAGTTAAGGCAGAATAAATCTAGAGCAAACACTGCTGTTCCCAAAAGCAGTGAGAATGACGTCCCCTAGCCAGGGCTTCAAGCAGCTGCTGTTATTTTAAGTCAGGGGTGGAGAGAGTTGAACACACAGTAGGTTCTTTTTTTTCCTTGTTCGACTGGGTGTCTAGGAAGACCCTCCAGGGAAGACCACAGATTAGGCGACATTGCTGTCCCGCTAGGGCCTGCTGCTTCCGCTGCAATGTTTCTGTGCCAGAGGGTTGGCCAGCTGTGCTGTTTGTTTCACGGAGAAGTTTTCCAGAGACACATTTTCCCCTTTCTGCTTGAATGACCACGTTTCAGAAACATCCAAAGATAATGCACAGGCATTCCCAATCTGCAGCTGGTATGTTTGGGGTCCCGTTGCCAGGGAGATTTGTAGAGTGAGCAGCTTAAAGTCTATGAATAACACTGAGGCATCCCAGGCCCAGACCCCTGGAGCAACAGAGGAGCAAGACTGGATTATGCCAGTAGGATCTGTGTGAGACAGTTCTAATGGCTGGGACAGTCCTGTGTTGTTCCTGGACCACTGCACTCCAGGAGGACAGGCTCCTGCAAATGCTAGGCCGGGTGTGGTCTTGGGAAGTTGACCACAGTCAGCATGTTCTGTGACTGTGAACCAGGCCTCAGGGGCAGGATTATGCTGGAACTTGGAATCGATGGGGTTGGAGACAATATTTAGCAGGTTTAACTATGACTTTTCAGGTCCAGAGATGGCCAAGACAGGGACAAGGAAATAGTCTGCCAATAAGAGAGTACCCTGGAGTAATCATTCAGAAAACGAAGCTGAGTGCTAGAATTAAAAGTTTTAAAGAAGGATTTGGAGATAGGTCAGTGGGTAAAGCACTTGCTATACAAACATGAGAATCTGAGTTGAGATCCTCAGAGCCCAGGCAAAGGTGGGTGTAGCAGTCACCCTGGTTCTGGGGGCGTCTCATGCCAGCCATTCCAGTTTAGTGAGGAGACCCTGAGTCAAAAAGAAATGAGTGAGAATGTAAACAAGGCGGAGAGAACAGACTAAGATAGCAGAAATCGATCTGTACTCGTCCCACACACAGGTAAGCACACAGGGGCATGCATGCCACCTTTTAAAAGGGGGGGAAGGGGACTCTCGTCATTAACCTGCATTTCCGGTAATGCAAATTTTTAAAAATGACGATCATTTAGAACTACATAAACAAAAAGGTGTATTTCAAAAACACGTTACGTCCGTGCAGAGAAATACCACATAGCTATAAAAAGAGTGGGCACGTTTGCTGCCTCCGGAAGATATTCGCAAGTAAAAACATCAGGCACCGAATGCTGTGTACAGTGTGTGCTTATTTGTAGCAAGGGCGTTGTCTGTGCTTTTCTGTGGTTATGTATATAGAATATTATGCACTGAAAACTCCTGTAAGTGCATCCAATCCATTGATAGTAGCTGCCAAGAAAGGGGTTGAGGAGCTGGGGGGAGGGGTGTCTGAGATGAAAGGGAAACTTCTCCATTGTTTGCATTTATCCTGCTTCTTCATATATATATATATATATATATATATAAAATGTGTGTGTGTGTATGTATATGTTTCCACCATGTGCACACCTCCCATTTTCCCAACAAGACCTTAAATTCATCAACATAGATGAAAACACACAAAAGAAGTCACTGAGAAAGTATTTGGCATCATAAAAGCTTCCGGAGCTGGCCACAGTGAGCCCCTCTGGACATCGAGATATGGAGAATAAAGCAAAAGAAAATACTAGATTATTTTACTCATGGCAGCCCTCACCCCTCCCACCCCACCCAGCCCTGTGCCACTTCCCGAGACTAAACCATAAATCCTGATACAAACAATGGCGACTCGGCCCAGGGCTGGGCTTCTATTGACAGAAGGAAAATCTGGGAGCCTATTGGAATGTAGCATGGAGCCCAAGACTCCTGGGTGGGAAGGGAGGGCTCCCAGGACAACCCAGGGCCTGCCAGAGCGACTGTGTGGAGACCAGGGGACGCGATCACACTGGCCATCTGGGGATTCTCCACAAAAACAAATCTTACAGCGCCAGCCCTCGAGCCCAGCGGGAAACTTCAACTGGGACAAACTGGTGGAGAATCGTGCTGTTTCGTCCAGGTGACAGAGAACTGGGGTCTTTGCTGCCCGGTCTTCACACACTGTGACTCACTGGGCACAAGGTATTGTGGTGGCTCCTGTGGAGAAAGTCATTTGGTTGTGTGTTCACTGATAAAATATGGTAGGGCTCATCCATATTGCCCATATACTAGGATCCTACTTAATTCACTAGGTTTATGAACTATGAGAGGATAGATTTACACACATACATACACACACACCACACCACATACACCACACCATACACACATGCCACATACACACACACAAACCACACACACCACATAGTACACACACTATATACACACAACACACCCACACACTATACACACTCAACACCCCCAATACACACACATACTATATACACACAACACCCACACCCCACCCACACACACCTTTCCCTGTTCTTGTACTGTTAGAAAATGCAGTAAACAGAGAAGTTTCCATGACCCAGATTCTGACCTCGGGGCATCACCTTTCCCCACTTTAGGCTGATGAGGGCGGTGACCTTTTGGTCTGCTGTTTCTTTAGAGTCAACCCTTGCCACCGCCCACGCCAGATGCCTGTATCCTAAAACTTGCTGTTCCTGCTCAACTGTATTTTTCCCTTCTGCGTTGACTGCCAAGTCCTGTCCTTCTCCAGCCCACCGGCTGTCTTGGCACAAACCCACCTGACTCCTGCCCGCACGGAGAAAAGCTCACAGCCTTCCTTAGCCCCTAGGAAGACACAGCGGGCAAGTGCAATCCCAGCTTGTCCCTTGCCGGCCAATGACTGGGCATCTATAAGAATCTCCTCCTTGGATGGTGTGGAAGGCACAGCAGACGCCAGCTTGTCACGAGGAGGTGTACACGGCATTCCTGTAGTCCTCAGATGTGTTTCACAGCCATGGCAAATGTCCAGTTGAGTTCCGCACCGTGTTGGTGCTGGAAGAGGCGTTTTGGAGGAAGCATGGACTTAACAGAGCAGGGAAAAAGGGGGGGAGGGGTATTCCAGATAAAGGAGAGTGATTAAAGGCAAGGAGATAACTATTGTGGTGTTGCTTCTGACTAACCTGGGTGACCCCATAGTGGTAAAACATGCAAGGGTTGCCTTCAGTTTTATTTCCTACGGCTTCCCTCCCAACTGCTACTAAAACAAAAGCAAGCTTCAGACCAAACGTAGCTGCACTCCAAATGCCTGTTAGCAAACGGGGCCAAGAATTGGAACTTTTTACCGTCTATTCTACATACAGACCCAGGGTGGGCAGTGTTCTGTGCCACAAGTGATTCCCTTAAGGTGGGTGTCAGAAAGGGGTTGGTGATGTTGTTTAACCCAAGTGGGTCAAGCAAGGGATTCTTCTAGTTTCGAGTTGAACGTGGCACTTACTGGTTATGGCCAACGTGAGCATCTAGAGGTTCATTGAAGTATTTGTAAATTATTGCAATACTTATATATGTACTGTGTTCCAAAGGCAGTTATTTTAAATGCCTTAGCAAAGAAAGAGAGGATGAGGCAAAACATGAATGGTGAGTGTTCACACCCTGGATGGTGAGGGTTCACACCCTGGATGTTGAGGGTCTGTACCCACAAGAGGTTCACAGATGGGCAGGTCACAGGTGGGCTTACCTGGGCTCATTTTGCTATTCTGCACCATGTGTGTAGACAGTCTCCTAGTCAGGTCTTCTTATGCACCCAATGTTTTTCATACTCAGGCAAGGAAACTGTTGCCATGGGGATACCTACAGTCATACCCTTAGCATCTCATGATCTTTGTGTGTGTTTGAATGGCAACATCTTATTCCTGCCCCATATATGTTATATATGTCATAATTATTAAGAGCCATTGGCTATAGAGAGGGAAGAGTTGTCCTTTTCTCCCTTGAACTTTCTTGAGGTATAAATAACAAAGACTGTACACATTTAGATGTTCAGCCCTGATGACTTGGTGCAAACACATGTTATGATTATTATAGCCGAGCAGATCCACACATCATCATCTTACATAATTAACATTTCTGTGTGTGCGTGTGTGTGCACACTACACATGTGTGTGCGTGTGTGTGCACACGTGTCAGATCCACACATCATTATTTTACATAATTGACACTTCTGTGTGTGCGTGGTGCCTGTGTGCATGTGTGTGCGCGCACGTGCACGCGTGTGTGTGTGTGTGTGTGTGTGTGTGTGTGTGTGAGATGAGAGCATCTGTGTCTTAGCAAACTTCAAGTGGACAGTGTATGAGGACTGTCATATTTCCTTGTATTTCCTAGAGATACAGTTACAGATTGTTGCAATCCACCCAGCGTCATGGGTGCTGGGAACTGAATTCTGGTCTTCTGAAAGAGTAGTACAGGCTCCGAAGCAGTAATCTCTTCCACCCCAGTCATCTGCTTTCTAGCTGAAAGCTTGTGTCTGTGACTGCAACCTGTCTCTCCCAGCTCCAGCCTTGGTTAGACCACTGAGTTCTTCTCCTGTGAGGATTCCCCACATAACTGAAGTCTGGCAGTATTTGTCACTCAGCGCCATTTGCCTTCTGGGTCCATCCGTGTGGTGTCCTTTCTCATGGCTTATTGGTCTCCCGCTGTGTGTACATGTGACATATTTATGCCACCTATCTGCCCTGTGTTTGAGTATCTGGTCTGCTAGGAAGCTGTCGTGCCTGCTCACTCTGCCCTCATGGGTGGGTTCTCGCCCCTTGTGAATGACGCCGCTGTCCCTGTTCCCTGTCTTGGTGGCGTGTATCCATGGACTGGTGCTGTTGATTATTCCACAGGCCCCACCGCAGCCTGGCCCACGAGTCTGGGAAGGGGAAGCTGGGTTTCTGTTTGTATTCAGTCTGTGTGCATTCCCACAGCCATCAGCTGCCACTGCTGGTGTTGCAACACACTATCCCACAGTTAGAAAGGGGCGGGGACTGGCCTTTTCCCCCACTCCCTTCGCCCGCCTCTGCCTCCTTGCCAAGGAGCCTGGGAAGCCTTTGGGATAACCTGAAACAAACTTGCAAGTTCAAGCAGAGCCTTCGTTCTCTCTCACGCAGTCAGCTGTGATTTGCTGGGGGCTGTGTTCTAACCCCGCCTCTCTGGCCTTCAGTATCAGCTCCAGCTTCAGGGGCTGGCTCCCGATTGGTCAGTTTGTGTTGCTTTGCAAAAACCTTTCATCCACGTAGTTCATCCCCACAACCATATCCTGTCCCTTTGCTGTCGGGGGATTGGGCTGCACTGCATGCATGGACGCATGAGAAGGGCGTGTTGTGGGCAACCCCTGGAAACTCTGCACAGTGCCTCCACCCCTGGCATTTTAGGGGCGAGATGCACCCTGTATTTGCTCTCTGCTGGAAGTTCTCCAAGAGTACAGTGCTGGCCGGATGCACATGTAAAGCTCCTGCATGCTCGTCTGTACACGGCTGACGAGTCTTGCCTGGCATGGACGGGGTGTTCCTGGAGGGCTCTTTGTCTTCCCTCCTTTTGTTAGCAAGGCCCCTGCTACACAGAGAGACAGAGAGATGGGATGCTGCCCAGAGCTCTGCTTTCGTTTTGGCTCAGCCAGTAAGTGATGTGTGGGCTGCCACCTCCCACGCGTTTGGGGCCTTATTCCTGGGTGTGGTGTGGCCTGGCCATCTTGCCGGAGCAGCTTAGTCTTAACTAGCTGTTAATCTGGGAAAGCACTGGAGAGCCCTGGTCTGTGTAATGAGGGGAATTCCTCTTGCCAGGACTCAGCATCAGGAAAAAGCCTGTCACTCCCGGGGAATCGGCCGATAGCTTTTTTTTTCATGTCAGAAAAATAATTCTCTCTCCTCTTCTACCTTCCTGCTGTGACCCCCTTCAAAAGCAGTTTCATAGTCTTTATCCTTTTCTTGGCTTTGGTTTTGGTTCTCTGTCCTGTTTTTAGCAATCCTGTAGGAAGTATACACACTGGGTACCAGCCGGTGGCCTGATCAGAGAGTGGGAGGGACAGTCCCCCTCCGTGGGTCTTTTCTGCCTTTTGGCTCTGAGGACTCTCATGGCTCCACCTTTTGGCATCTGTTGTGGATGTCCTCTTGACAGGATCACCACCAGGTTTGCTTGGATATAGCCCTGGCCTGCCCCGGTTGCCTATTGCACAAGCATTCAGGAATCTTCCTTTTTCCCTGAGAACTAAGACACATAGCACTTCCCTGTAATGAGTGGATCTGCCCCTTAAAACCCCCTGCCTGGAAACGCGCCGTGTCTCAGTCCTGAAGATATAGTGACAGATTCATGGTGGAAATCTGCAAGATCAAGGATGGTCAAGGCTGGGCTGTCCTTAGGCTGATTGACAGTGGGGTCTGAGCAGACTTGGGCTGGGAAGGAATGATGGAGGACTGATGAGTCATGGGGGGATCACAGTTGAGAACGGGCCCCAGTTCATCGGCAGCCACTGAAGACAGTTTCAAAAGCCACACCGGATGAGAGTTATGTTTCTCAAATGACGCCCGGCATATTATTTGTGTCTATGTAGGTCTCTATGCAGGTTTTACTTGTTAGAGTTTCTCACTAATGTCTCTAAGTTAACGTGTGACGTCTTCTGGGTCAACTGGATGGTCGCCTCTTGAGTGAGGATTTGAAGTATCAGGTGTCTCCCTGCTGTGCCACAGATAACATGCTAACAGCACTAGATCTCCGGGAGAGGTCACAAGGCTCGAGAATTCTGGCCATAAGCTGGCTGGAGGATGGAAGACGACAAGATACACCCCAGACACTTGTGCATGTTTTCTTTGTCTGGCACCAAACTGCTCAGGGCTTGGAGAACTTAGCTGGGAGAACTCAGCTGCCTTTTGTGCCAAATGACCATGATTTAACGAGTGTGTGTGCCATCAGGGGGAGCAGGGATTCCCTCCTATTGAAAACCCAAAGGGTAGAAGCCCTGATTCAGGCTTCTGGCCCTGTAAGCTATGTCTCGCTAAGACTTCTGGACAGCATTTGGGGGCTCACCAGACAGGCTCCTTGTCAGAGAGCTGTGAACTTTGATCTGTGGCTGAGCAGAAACAGAGAGAGATGCTTCAGGTTGCTGGTCAGCTTCCATCCATTACATGTCGTCACACACCACAGCCAGCTAACTCAAAACTCCGATTCTCTGCCGCAGACCATCATGACTTCTCACGGCCACCTGGATGGTTTTGCCTAGGGAACCCGGGTTCCGTCCACATATGGCGATCTCTGCTTGGCTGGTGTCACACTTCAGCGGTCATCTGTTTGAGATATGTGCTCAGCCACCCCTCCCTCTCCGCTCTTTTGTTTCTATCTCTTGGAGCTCTCTTTGGCCATCTTCATTTGTTCAGAAAGTCACTCAGGCAGCATCCTTCCTCTTCCCAAAACCCCAGTCCTTCACCACAACTCAATTCGTCTAGAGAATCCGAGTCATGTAATCTGTGGCATAGTGATTTCGTTCTTCCTTCTGGGTTTTGGGGACTTTTCACTGACAGGGACTCAATTTGCCGTACCGATTTTTGTCTTCTTCCAAAATGCCCTTCAGACGGAACTGGGATGGCCGAGTGGTTGGACTTGAGATACCAAAAGGCACTTCAAAATACCTACATCTATTTACCCACCTGTCCATCCGTCCATCTGTCTATCCATTGGTCCTCCCGTCCATCTGTCTATCTATCCATCTATCCATGTGTCTGTCCATCCATAGGTCCACCCGCCCCATCCATCCATCTGTCCGTCCCATCCATCCGTCTGTCTGTCCATCCATCTGTCCATCAGCATTGGGTAGCAGCCGTAGACTCAGCACTCACTGTGAGTTGTACTCAAGACACCATCGATGCCTGACGAAACTGACGAGTGACAGGGTGGAGAGGTTAAGTAGACAGTGCTGGCCTCCACCAAGCCTTGGCAGACTGAGGTGCGGGGTGGGGGTCCCTGATCGTGTGCTGCGGAAGCATAGCACTCACGGATGACTTTGGACTTGCCACTGCTCTTGAACCAACGGCGTAGTGAGCTGCCTTGTCACTTGAGTCACCTGTGTGGCCTGGAGTCTGAAGAAGCAGTCTGACTTAGTTGGTCTAGCGGGAAGCAGGCGTGCCCAG